CAACTTCAGGGTAGACAGACTTCTTACCAGAGTTCTGAGAAGACCAGGAGGAAGCTGCTCCTGTGTGTGTGTGTGTGTGTGTGTGTGTGTGTGTGTGTCTTTTTTCTCTCTTTCTTTCTTTTTTTTCACACTGGTGAAGGGTGGGGTTTGGAGGATTGAACCCAGAAATGCTTTATCACTGAGCTACACCCCCCAGCCCTTTTTATTTTATTCTGAGACATGATCTCACTAAGTTGTCCAGGCTGGTCTTGAACTTGCAATCGTCCAGCCTCAGGCTCTTGAATACGTTGGATTGCAGGTGTTTGCTACTGCACTTGGCCTCTGCCTGTCTTGTGAGCCAATCTCAGAAGGTCCCTGGCACCATTTCCATATATTTTATTGATCAACACAGTCACAAAGCTGCCTAGACCCGAGGGGAGGAGACATGGACCCCGCTTCTCAATGGGAGAAATGTCAGAACATCTGTGAACCACCATGGAAGATAAAGGGGAATGGCATCTTGGGAGTAGGCAGGGCCAGACCACCGGGGCTGTCCTCTGATCACCAGCTAATCCTGCTGGGTGCTGGCCAAGCTGCCACTGAGTCACTGAATCAGCTCACAGGAGCACCTGCTGCCACTGGCTCGGAAGCCTGGTGAAGAATCCTTATTTCCCAAACCTTTCTTCATCAAAGTACTATTGGGGTTTCTCTAGATCTGTAGGAAACAGATCAAGGTGTCTGCATTTGACTATCCTTCCACTTTCTGTCTACTCCTTTCCAATGAAGCTGCATCCATCCTTCTTCTAGCCCTATAGCTGGGCTTTCACATGCACCTGTAACCTCACCTAGCTCTGAATCCCAAAGCACCTCACTGCAAGTCCTTCTATTATTGACTCAGGCAGAGAAATGTGCTATTAGTGATTTAATCTCCCCATGACATTTCCCCCTAATTGCTAGTCACAGATGATAATTAGCTACTGTTAATTCCTGATAATTAACAAGCTAATACTTACAGGTAATGGCATTGGGTAATCATCTTTAAAAACCCAAAGCTGCTGAGCTTCTAAGCACCAGTTTCTAGAAGGTGACCTTGCATTTTGATATCTTCAGCCCAGGAATTAGCAGGAGCCCTGTGTTTTTGCTTATGACGGCAGTGGTTGAGAACTGACACCTCTAATCTTAAGTTTAGTTTTCTTCTCTGGCTATAGAAATAATACACATTCTTTTGGAAGCCTTGTTGAGCACGGAGAAGTACATAGAGCATAAAACATATATAATCTTATTATCTGGAAGGAACTGTGGTCAACATTTTGGTTTATTTCTTCCCAGTCTAAGTTTTCTCACAGTCAGGCTTACATTAAATGCGTGGTTTTACAGACAGATTTGTTTGCTGAACGTTATAGTGTAAACATTTTCTTGTGTAGTGGCAGCTTATAAAAAAAGTCTGCCTCCCCATCCAAAAATCATATGCATGTAGAAGAAGGATGGACATCACGAGATGGAGAAGCATCTATGCAAGAAGCAGAGGCTGCACAAGTTCTTCTGATTATGCTGGAACTAACAGTCCATTCCTGACCAGAGCGTCTCCTAGCAGCCTCCTGAAGATTTTGGTTGGGTGAATGTGCACACACACCTTCACAGTCATGCAGGTGATACATGGCTGGACAGCCTTAAAGTAAGATATTAAACAGTATTGTGTGTAGACAGGGAAAATACAGATAATTTTCATCTCCCGTGTTATGTTCCATGCAACACAAAGAAAAGAGTATTGGCTAAGCATTGATAATATTCATAATATTCACCTGTCAAGCGTGGTGGCACATGCCTGTAATCCCAGCACTCAGGAGGCTGAGACAGGAGGATCTTTTTGAGTTTGAGGCCAGCCTGGGCTACAAAGTGAGTTCATGACCAGCCTGAACTGCATAGCGAGACCCTGTATCAAAAAGACCAAAAAAAAAAAAAATTCACCTGTCAAGTCCTTATCTCTCCAAGCAGCAAGTGGGGTGATCTCCCATCACCTGAAACTTCATTACCTCATGTGAAGATTGAGGGAAATATTACTCCTGCCCCCTACAAGGTGGTTCTCTGAATCGGAACTGCCAAGTCACTATGAAACTGATACCAGAAGGTCTCCCCCATGATAACCCTCAAGAAGCCCCAAAGCATAAAGCGATGGCCCTTACGTAACACGTAGCCACTTAGAAAAATTTCCAAATACTGTGTCTTACGTATTTCTAGATTGCCTAAGTGACCTGCTTCATCTCGACACTCCTGGAACCCACTTATTTCTTCAGCAAAGGGTGGTATCACCCAGGCACAGGCTTTGGAGTGAGATCCAGTTTAAATCCACAGTCTGCCCCTCACCTACGATTGCCTGTAGGCTACTTAACATCTTCAAACCCTTTTTCCTCATCCATGAAATGGCGCTAATTCTGTCTACTTGTGAGTCATTGTGAGGTCCTGGTGAGATATGGCACATAAAGGGCTTCGGACAGTGCCTTATAGTTAACCAGTACTCAGTCAGTAATATTACTTATTCATAAATAAACATGATGACATAATACATAAATGTATAAATTATATTAACAGCATACATATAGTTTTGCAATGGTAAGACTGCTATTTTCACCCCGTGTGGAGTTTCACAAAGCTATTACAAACTCGAGGGCTAAGACTCCTGGGGTTTTCCTAACAGCGCTGCAGGCTTTGGGGTCTGACGTTGCAGAGCTGGACAGGCGCGGTCACCTTCAACCTCTTCCTTTATGTTTTGCTTTTATAGATTCAGGTCCAACCGCTCTCCGCTTGCATCTCCCCAAATCCCCAAGACATGAATCTTTCTCATCTCTTTGCCAAGCTTAACATTAAAATTGGCTGCACAGCTTCCGGCAGGCAGCAGCCGTTGTATTTCAGGAGCCCTGATCTGTCTGCTCCACAAGAAGCAGGCTCAGTCCACCGCTGCCCGACAATAAGACCTCACACCAGGCTCACACTTTAGACTTCCAGGCAGTCACATCTGCCCTTGCGTCATCCCCAGCAACCGTGGGGCGGGCAGAGCCGGTCTTCCTACTCTGCTGGGAGCCGCGGGTTCCCAAAGTGGGTCTTGCGGAACGGGATGCCATCTTGAGGTGAAGGAATTTTGGAAAATTCTGGAATAAGCAAAGCCAAACATACTTTGACATAACGTGGAGTGTGATTCTTCAAGAGTTAATGCAGTGTTTCCCAAGTTTCTTTTTCTAAGCAGAATCCCCCACTCCTTTTTAAAAAATATTCCATAGAACTATCGTTCTACCTTTGACTCTCTTGTTTGTTTCCTTTGTCCCTTCCTCCTTAAGCCGGTGCATGGAGGGTTATGCTCCCTGCCTTGCACACAAGTGGCATGCACATGCGCACACCTCCAGCAAGCCCATGTGGGGCTCCTCCGGGAGATACATCAATTCTCGCACAGGCGTGGGCCAGAGCACAGCTGGTGCTGTGGACTTAGGGCAGCACACCCCGCGTCAGAGAAAGAGCACCAATCTCTCCCACTCTCCCTTCCTACAGACAGCTGAGCTCTGTTGTCAAACGCAGCTTCTGTCCCTGCTGAGCTGTCTCAATATCTACCTGCGCCTCAAATCCTAGCTGAGACACGACACCATCCCTCGGCGGGGCCTCTGGGACGTCAACAGGATCCTAGGCTTGGCAGACTTCACCAGGGCTGCTGTACCTTTCTCCTGAACTCAGTAACATCCTACTTCAAAATCCCTGGCTTTGTGATACTGAAGGATGCCAGCAGCAGGGCTGGCTCGGTGACACTCGCTGTCTGCGCTACCCCCCTCACAGGCCCGCACTTTTCTACAGATGGCTCAGGAGATGCCCCCTCCACCACCTGTGTGCTTGGTACAGTGCTTCCCAGAATTCAGCAGGCAGACAGCTCACCTGGGTTGTGTTAAAAATGAGGATTCTGATTTGTAAAGTTGGGGAGGCCAGAGATTCTGCTTTTTTCCAGCCAACTAATGCTGCTGGCCCCTGGGCCACACTTTCAATAGGTAAGATCAATCATTATCTTGAGTTTCTTATTAGTATTACCTGGGAGCATTTTAAAAATACCATAGCTCAGGGCCTCGTGGAAACCAGCAGAACCCAAATCTGTTTGAGAGTTGCCTGGAATTTATAGACGCTCCCTGGTGATCCCAGGTGGCAGCCTGGGCTCAGAACCCACCAGCGGGGTCCGAGGTCTGGAGCTGGCACCCCCTGCCTGATTCGCCACTGTTTCCCTGCTCCCAGAACAGTGCCTGGCGGGCAGCAGGGACGAGCTCTCAGCTTCTCTCTGACTGGTTCACAGCCAGCTTCTGCCAACGTAGTACTCAGCAGACAGACCTGGAAGCGTTTCTACTCAGGTGATTAAGGAGGCCCGTGGAACTTGGCCTGTAGAGTGGCTTCTTTACTGCGTCAACCCAGCGCTACAAGCGATTAGTCGCATGAGTTAGATGCTTCCCTCCAAAACCCTTCTCCGCCCCGCTGCTTCTTCCCAAGGGGGCTGCTGCTTCCGTTTCTGGAGCCTGCTGCTGTGGGAGAGCGTCTGAGCCTCAGAACCCCTCTCAGCACGGGGGAGGCCAACCGGCAGCTCTCTTTGCCCTTCTTCCTGCCTGCTGCCTCTACCATGGCCCTCACTGGGCTGCACTCGACTGCTTTGGGGGTGTTTATGTTCTCCTAGATGGAGAACTCTTAAAGGGCAAGGAAGGCATCAGGTTCAACTTTGTAGTTCCCATGTCTGCTGCAGTGGGTTGCTGAGTGAATGAATGATTGAATGAATGAATAATAATACACAGCAAGAAGGACTCAGAGAGGACAAGGGGGCCCTTGCAGTGGCCTGAAGAGAAAGCTGTGAGTTCCTGAGAGGCAGAGGGAGGAGGTGGCCCCTCTGCTGAGTGGCCTGGCATCCGGATCTGGTGGTCCTTAAGCACCCGCTGGGTTGCGGGGTGACTTCTGTTGCTCCCCCGGCCCCTCCCCCACTACCTGCTCACTCTCGCTGCTCGCCCTAGAGCCCGCTGCGTGCTGCTGGCCACCCTCGAGCATCCGGCAAGATGAGCGCCTGCGGGAGGAAGGCCCTGACCCTGCTGAGCAGCGTCTTCGCCGTCTGCGGCCTGGGCCTCCTGGGCATCGCTGTCAGCACTGACTACTGGCTCTACCTGGAGGAGGGCGTGGTCCTGCCCCAGAACCAGAGCACGGAAGTCAGGATGTCCCTGCACTCGGGCCTCTGGCGAGTCTGCTTCCTGGCAGGTAAAAGCACCTGGGTTGGGGGGTGGCCCTGCCTTCAGGACAGCCTGACCAAGAGGTTCTTCCCTGGGGAGAGATGCTGAAGGCAATAATTTGCCCCAGGTGATTTTTTCTTTTTTTTTTTTTTTTGGTACTGAGAATTGAATGCAGGACCTTGCACTTGCTAGGCAGGAGCTTGTGCCGCTGAGCTATATCCCCAGCCCTGCCCCTGGTGATTTTCACAAGCTCTTACCATGATTTGCAACATCCATTTGACAAGCCCGTCCTCCCCAAGGCCCGCCTTCACCATGCCCCGCCTCCAGGGCTGCAGGAGAATCACGTGACACAGGTTTTCTATACTCTAATGCCTCTCGGTCCTACAGCTGTGGGTCCCCTGGGGTCCTTCCAACAACACTGCAAGGTGGACTTGTTTCTGCTTTACGGATGAGGAAGCAAAGTCCCGGCCAGTTAGGGAACGCTCCTTCATTCAGCCTCACTTGTGCCCACTAGTTTGTAGAATGGGAAACACTCGGTAGTTTCTCTGTCCCACTGTCCATGAAATGACACAGAGAAAAGCCCAATGCAGGTCCTTCAGCTCTGTTTTGAGACTGCCTATCTAGGCCTCCATGAGCTTCTCTGGAACCCTGGGACTTGCTTCTCCAGGAGCTCTTCTCTTTATCCCGTTATCCTGGTCCCGCATGAGCCCACACACAGAAAGCCTCGCCGGGTGCACGGCCATGGGCCTAGATGTAAGACTGGGCAGGCCAAGACAACCACAGCAGAGTCCCTGGGCTTTTCCTGGTGGTGCCCTGTAACCCACGTGTACTTGGGAGGAGGCAGGTTTGCTCCTCACAGCTCTATGGCAAGGCCTTAGGGATGGATGGTGGCTGGGTGAAATTTAGCAGGGGGACGCTTTGGGAATGAATAGCACCCAGCTCCACCCTTAGCTCCCACTGCTCCAGACTGTGTGGCCTTGCTTTCTGCTGAACCTCAAACCTGAAGTCACCAGATCTGGTTTCCAAAGAGGCTGACAAAGCTTTGAGGCTTTGTTCAAGTACATCCGCCTTCATGAACCTAAATCAGCCATGCACCATGCATCATCGGTCCCCTCTGCCCAGAAGAAATGAGGTGGCACCAGATGTCCCCTCGGTGTGGAGCCGCAGTGCTGACCTCTTCCCATGCGACTCTTGGTGCCTGGATCCACCCTCTTAGAAGGACGTGATATAAGGACACGTTTTCCACCCATGCCGTGGGCCACCGGCCAGGGCCATCAGCGGGAAGGGCCTGATTTAGGTTTTCTCTGTGTCACCTCATGGACAGTGGGACAGAGAAACTCCTAAGTGTTTCCCATCCTGAAACCTCCTAGGGTTTGTGTCCAACCTAGGTACAAAGACACTGTGGGTCAAAGATAGAAACACTTGGAAATTCCATTTGAGTGTGCTGACCTCAAATCCACTTTCAAGAAGAGTCTGGCAACGTATGTAACTCTTGTCTCCACAGGTGAAGAACGAGGACGCTGCTTCACCATCGAATATGTAATGCCCATGAACTCCCAGCTCACGTCTGAGTCCACAGTCAATGTTCTAAGTAGGTGTCTTCAATGTTCTGCTCTGGACCACTGGATGGACAGAGAGGAACAGGGCAAGGGGAAGAATCAGGGTGACCAGCATATTCCCAAGAGCTAGCTCCTAGCAGGGCACGGTAGTGTGTGCCTGTAATCCCAGCTCTTGGGAGGCTGAGGCAGGAGGATCACCACAAGTCTGAGGCCAGCCTGGGCTACATAGTGAGCTCAAGACAAGCCTGAACTACATAGCAAGACCCAGTCTCAAAAATAAAACAAAACAAAACAAAAAAGAGCTAATGTCTTAGTCTCAGCTGGATGTGCAGGCCTGGGTTCACTAGAGCTTGCTCTTCCAATTAATTTTCCAGTGGAGGAAATGAGTTGCTGGAGTCTCACAGTCATGACTCCGGCAAGTGAGAAATGTGTTCGTACCCAAGGAAATGAACAGATCTCTCTGTACTGCAACAACACTGACTTGACCTTGACCTCACCAGTGGTGGTTCTGACTCCAGAGTGAACTTGAGATACAATTACAAGTCTGATACAAGTCCTTGGTGCATGAAGGAGTTAGTTCCAGAGCCCACTGCACATACAAAACTCAAGGAATGCCCAAGTCCCTTATATCAATAGCATCATATTTGCGTATAGTCTATACACATCCTCCCTATACTTTACATCATTGCTAGGTATTACTTACGTTACTGAATGCAATGTAAATACTGTGTAAGCAGTTGCCATGCTGTATTGTTTAGGGTCTGATGACTAGAAAGAAAGTTTGTCCGAGCTCAAGGTAGCAGCATCCTTTACGTGCGCATCAGCAACAACCCGGCAGGAATAACAAAGACACTCCTGTCACCTGGACAAAGACCAGACATTGCGTGTGTGCATGTGTGTTACTGAGGATTGAACCCAGGGCCTTCACACACAAAGCTACTTCCCCCGCCCTTTTTTTTATTTTGAGACAGGGTCTTGCTAAATTGCCCAGCCTGGGCTAAATTCGCAATCTTCCTGCCTCAGCCTCCCAAACAGACCTGCACCACCACGCTTGGGTCAGAAAAATTCTTTATTATACAACAGAACTGATCCCCATGAAATTATAAATTGAAGAAGGCAGTTACTGCCCTCTGTGCCACCCAAAGCAGCCCCTTGCCCATGGAAATGAAGAATCCTGGGGAGAGGAAGCAAGATGATGTGACCAGGCCCTTCCACAGCTGCTGTATCCACAGACAAAGTAGACTCCCTGGAGGAAAGTAATGCATGCCTCACGGAGAAGATGGGGGCCCAGAATACGTTGACAGTTGAAGGCAGGCCTCCCAGCTTGCCGCAGGAACAAAAACCCTGCCCGCTCTGAGAGGTCCTCAGTCCTACGGGGCACAGGTCCTGGGAACTCATGCAGGTTAGGACCGTGAGGGCTTAGTAAGCAGGGCCACACACTGCCTGGGATAAGTACCAGCAAGCAGGGCCTCTGGCGGCTGACAGGCTGTTCCTTTGTCTTCTTGATTAGAAATGATTCGCTCAGCCACACCGTTCCCTCTGGTCAGCCTCTTCTTCATGTTCATCGGGTTTATTCTGAGCAACATAGGACACATCCGTCCCCACCGGACAATACTGGCCTTTGTTTCCGGCATCTTCTTTATCCTCTCAGGTGAGTTGTCTTGTTTTCCTTGCATGCATGCTAGACTTTTGATATTTAACTCCTGAGCAGCTCTGCTCCAGAAAGTCCTGGTCAGGGCTGTGGGTCAGTCCCTGGCACTGCCAGCAGGACAAGTCGAATCCGTGACCTGAACAAAATTGAGTCAGAGCTAGAGGGGTGTTTGGATAATCCCAGACCCACCCATGACCTCCTAGAAGAGCTGAAGAGTTCTCGGAGTGCAGGCGCCCTGGCCGGCTCTCCCTGGGCAGAGCTGGGGTGGGAGCCAAGGCTTCTCCTCACTCTCTACATCCACTACTCCCTCCCCAGCCCCCAGTGGTGCTGACATCCCTGTTGAAGGAACTTTGTCCATGCTTTGTCACGAAAAAGAAATCCAATCTATCTTTGAGCAATGGTCCCTTGAGCCCCAGCCCTCAGCTACCCTCAGGCGACTGTCCCCACACTCAGCTACCACATCCCAAGAGCCCGGGCCCATGGAGCCCCTGCAGCACAGACCTGTCTTCTGGACCAGCCCCAGGTTGTCCATTCACTGAGTCGCTATATCGAGCAAGCTCTGCTCTGGGTGCCAGCATCACTGCCTCCAAAAGGGCCAGACCGAGGGCTGCTCAGGGAAATGACCAGAAAGTGAGCTAAGGGGTGAGTAGGGAGCAGGCAGGAAGTGAGGCTAGAGTGGGACGGAGAGGGCCCTGGAGGGACAGAGGAGGAGGCACGAGGGGCAGGGAAGTGTTGAACATCTTCCGGTGGACGTGAAGAGAAACGTGATGAGAGGGGAGGTGGGGAAGGCACCTGAGGTCATCTTATTGACTTGAGGATTTTGAGCCAAGAGGTGCTGTGGTCAGAGTGGGTGTTAGAACATCCACTCTGGAGAATGGAGGCAGGAAGGAAACAGGAAAGGAAGTGGGGAGACCCAAGAAGACACTGTCCCAGGAGCACAGGGCAGAGGGGATGGTGGCCCCAACCAGGATGAGGCAGCACAGTAATGGTTGGGGGGCGGTGAGATTCAAGGGCTGTTGCGGGGGAAAACTCAACGGGACTAGGACTGGGCTTGCTGGGAAGGGGTCATGGGTGAGGGCAAGTTGCTTGCTTGGGCACCGAGGAATGGCATGTCCCATCGGCGATATACGGATCACAGGAGAAGGAGCGGGTTCAGGCAAAGATCATGAGACAGTGAGGAACATGCTGGGTGTGAGGTGTCTGTGAGATATCTGAACATCTATAGAAGGACTGCTAGAGGGCAGGGCCTGGGGCTCATGGGAGCACTAGGACCAAAGATAAGAGACTTGGGAGCTGTCAGCCTGGGCACAGGAGTGTAACCATGGGCATGGATGTAACTGCTCACAGGAAGGTATGGAGAGAGAAGGAGAGAAGGTCTGTGTTTCAGAAGACCTTTTCTGTGTGTTTTCAGAAGATTTTTATTTGGAAGAAAAGAATGACTCTCAGGGCATGTATTTTAGGTGTGCTGGACTGGTTGATTGAAGAGAGGAGACTGGGAAGGGAGAAGATGCATGTGTGGCTTGAAGGATGGATGGATGAATAGATGGATGGATGGATGGATGGATGGATGGATGGATGGATGGATAGGTAGATGGGTAGGTGCATGGATGGATCGGTGGGTAGATGGATAGGTGGATGGATGGATGGATGGATGGATGGATGGATGGATGGATGGATGGTTGGATGGGTGGATGGATGAATGGATGGGTGGGTGGATGGATGGATGGATAGGTGGATGGATGGATGGATGGATGGATGGATGGATGGATGGAT